TGAGCACACATTGGACTTGTATATTACATAAGCAAGAGTTGTGCCTTGTTATCAAAGATTAGCGCTCTTTGAAAAAACAAAACAAAAAACTAGGGAGCGCACCCTAGGTGGCGTTATAAGCCACACCCACAAATATAAATTCATATTCAAATATAATCACAATTTTTGTGATGCAATAATTGCTCAGGTATGTTGTAATATTATATAAAATATTTAAAAATACTAATTAATTTTTACTTTACCTTACAGTTGTCTTCTAATTGTAATCCATAAACACAAGCACTTCACTGCACAACACTGTACACACACTATCACTGCCGTGCACTGTACATGGTCGAGCACTGAGTGTGGAATCAATATTTCAAGACTTTTACAATTAAAAACTTTTTTTATGAATGATTAAAATATTAATAATTTATTATTATTACAACTGTATTAAATATATTTATTTAATATCAATGTATTAAAATAAACTATTTAATAAAATAAACTTTTAATTAACAAACACTTGTTATTTATTTATTTATAAAAATAACCGATCATGACAAGTGAGAAACCAAACCACAGGCTAACTATACAGGATATAAAGCAAACAATTTCTTGCATGTTAATTTTAAACACTTGTTTAAACACTAATTGACACAATGGATTTGCAATGCTTATCCAGGTGAAATTAGTAGAATATTTAGATCACAATCTATTAATTGAGTGAATAATATTGTGAAATCTAAAAATAAAATAGAAGTCCGATGCGTTTTTCGTAGAAAGCGTACGGGTAATACATACTGAGGGCCGACGGGTTTGCCATTTGAGGAACGAAAGGCATTGCACCCAAACCTGGAATCACTGACGGCTTATCGGGATGAAAGCGATTACTCAATGGACTCAAACTCGTCGGATATGTTCGCCGAAGTCCGGCCGCGGAGGTCAATGACGGCGGCGGAACGCCTCCGGCAGTCGAGTAATGCATGTGTTGAGCGAGTGATTGGTTAAGAGAGGATCCCTTCGAAAGACTCTGAGGTATGAGTGATGGCACAGAAGTGATCGAATCGACGCTCGAAGACGTATGAGTTATCAAATGGTTCAACAGTTCCTCAGAGTTGGCGAACCGTTTGCCGCAGTGTTGGTCACCAGCGATCCAATTGCACTCGTTATTGCTTTTAGGCCGAGGGGGCGGCAAACCGGCCGCCAGTGGCGAGTATAGGCCCCGCAGCTTAGGCCGCAGCGGCGTATAAGTGAGGGCTGAGTCGTAACTTTGACTTAACCCCTGGCCGTAGGCCTGGAATGATGGCCGGATTGAGTTGAGAATAGGCGGCGTTGGCCGCTAACGAAGACATGAGTCTTTGGTGATCACATTGATTGCAGCCATTGGGACACGTGGCCGGACTGCAGCCGCCCGAGCCATGAGCGCCGCGTCTTGCATAGCTTTCAACTGACACGTGCCCGTGCAGTACGGGTCGCGACACATCGGCATAATAACCTGCCCTCCGTTCGCGGTCTTCATTCTGGCGTAACTGAGTGGCGAATATATCGACGGATAGGCGCTCATCAATGTCTCCACCATTGACGACAAGTTGAGTTCCAACACATCCGCAATCACGCCGTCGAACCGTTGGCCACATTCTTGGATTACATCCAATACTCTTATATGATCGACAATATCATACTTCTTATGACCGGTCAGTCATCGACAGAGACATTCATTGAGATAATTGACTCACATATTGTTGATCCAAATGACAGGTAGTTTACACCAAAATCTGTTATCAGAGTTGATCCTGAAGTGTCACTCCTTGGGTTCGTTCGATCAGATGGAGGTCATTCATGTGGCGGCCACTCCGGCCGATCTGTACAACGCTGTTTTTGTGAACATACCTCTGGCGCCCTTCTTCATCGACTGCATCGGTGAACAGGATTTAAACGAAATGAATGTTGAGATCATGTTTGAAGCGGACAGACGTGCGTTCATAATCACTATCAACACATTTCATCATTTTAAAACTTTGAAACAAAACTTTTAAAACTTTAAGCAAAACTTTTAAACAATATTAACTACGTTATTTGTTTTTTTCACCACAAGTTTTGATGAAATGACAATTATTGTTATTTTGAGTCGATAGTTGGCGACACTATTCACATTCATTGTTTGTGTTTATGTATCCATTTTGACACAACAATGACAACAGCTGTTCATGTGCTCAACATATTTCCTCATTTCACCCACAGTTGACCACAACTACCGGCGAACAGAACCACGAGTGTTGTATAAACGATTGCGAGCGGGTCTTCGACGACAAGGAATCGCTGGACAGACACATGCGCGACGATCACAACTACAGACCCGGTATGTTTGTCCGCCATTTTGGCTTAATCTTAAGCAATGTTTTATGTCTTATTGTCCATTACAGTGACCCGCGAGGACATCCTTCTTAAGAAGGGGATCCGTTGCGATTGGCCCGACTGTGGTCTCGTGTGCCAAACGTCGCGTTCATTGGAAATGCATCGCTACAGAGCGCACACCAAAACCAAGTCATTGGTGTGCGGCGACTGCGGCTCCTGTTTTGGGACCAAACACTGTCTCACTGGCCACAAAAGAAGGTGCACTTCGTTATTGAAGTACAGGCGATACAATGCGGCGCCGGCGACGGACGACACGGATGAAGAGCTCTCGCCGTCACCCGTTAAGCGTCAGCGAACGGCCATCGATGAGATATTTTGGTGCCAATACCCGAACTCTGGCCGCGAATACAACACACAGTCGGAGCGTAATCTCAATGAGTTGGAAAAACTGTTCCGTAACAGCAGTGGCTGTTCGACTAATGGTGCCAGCGGTGCCGCCGATTTCCTGTACTTTCATTCGCTAAATGGCGTCCAATTGTTGACCAAAATGTTGTCCCAAATAATGAACGGCACCCGAAAGAGACTGACATCGCTCACCGACCGGTCCAACGCTAAGTTGGCAGTACTTTACGAACTGGTCTGCGGTCAGCACTTGGATGTGGCCGACTATGTCCTGCAATCCCAACACGTGATCGACTTGTTGGACATTCTGTGCCATCGGATCAATGTATGACCTGATTGTCTTATGTCTTAGTTCTGTTTTATATCATATGTTTTGTTTTTGTTTAATTCATAGTTATTGGACACGACTCTCATGAGTACTAGTGGTGAGGGAACCACAGCCTTGACATGCGATATAATGGTCGGAGCCCTGTGTCGACTCCTGTCCACCATTTTTGACACACTTCACGGCCACTACTCGACTCTCATCGATAGTACTGATGATAGTCTGGCTTTCAATCACATCATTCAAGACGTGATCAGGTATTGTGTCCGACAATCAATTACTGGATCAGCGATAAGATAACTCATGTCTATTATTATGTAAACAGTTATATAGTATCGGTCGGAATGATTGATAAGCTGTCGCTAATGATGGCCAACACTCGGGGCCCCGTCGACGACAACCCGGAGCTGACCCAATGCCTGCAAAGTGTTGTCTCTCTTTTCAGCTCACTCTCCAAACTGATGGCACTTCGAGTGGAGGAGAGGTTCGGCGCCCGTCTCGCCGACGACGACACACAACTGATGCTCACGTTTCAGATGACACACATCGGCGGTGTTGTGTCCCTCATCTACGGAGTGATCCTCCACTCGGGTGCGCCTCAACAGGCTGACGGCGATTGACCCCCACTCGCCGCCGACCATACCCTGGATCTGACTCTGGAAGTGATCAGACTTTTGAATTATGTGTCGCTATTAGATCTGAATGTGGTTCAGGTATGTGTGACCTGTGCTGTGCTGTCCTATCAGTTCATTTGGTCCAATAATCTGTGGATAATTTGCTGATTTTATTGTGTTTTTGTAGTGTGTTTTGGGCGGCGAAGGGCTGTCACTACAACTCCGGCACATCTGTTCATACCTTTTCTGGTATTGCACTCACCATAAGAAGGAAGCGCTGCTCAACGAAGCGATTCTATTGGTTGGCAACTTTGTTGTCCTCAACGACGAGAATCAGGTACTGGTCTCCCGACAAAACTGTCCATTTCATTGATCACTAAACTTACTGTTTATTTATTTATAGGCGCTGTTAGAGTCGGGCCAACGGTCGACTGTCGTCCAGCAGTTGTGTTCGCTGTCCATCGAGTACTTCAGCGACGATCGACTGTCTCGGGTGTTGTTCCCGACGCTAATCGCCTGTTGTTTTCAAAACCCGCAAAACCGGACGGTTTTGGAGAAAGAGATGTCAACTCTAATGCTCTCGAC